TGCCGTTTATAAACTATATGCGACGACAATATTCTGGAAATTCCGACGTCTTCTAGATGTGCCATTAGCAACCGGCATTCGAGGGGTGTTGCATCATGATTGGCTGTTGGGTCCAGACTTTCGGCCAATTAGAGCCTGCCTTGATGCTGGACTAGCAAGGGGCCCTATCTTCTGGCCAATCGTAAGTGGAATAGGCCTCTTGGTAGAAGCAGTGACTAACTGCGAGCGGAAAACGGTATCGGTGCGGTTCTGTCTCGCGGACCAACGCGCATTATGAAAGAAAAGCCATGGGACTTGCCGGCAGACACACTGTCGAACCGTGGAATCTGGAAGTTATAAAATGTGTCGGTGGGAAATATCATGAAAACACGTAATAAATGTGGTCGAAACGATCTGCAGTATACCTCAATCGAATCACTTCCCATTGGGTGACTTCATCAAATCGTTCTCCCTTTTCATCCCACTACATATAGACCTGAGCTTATCACGATGTGCCGCGCGCGTCCCAGACGCGCAGCTGCAGTTTCTGCGCGTCCGTCTTCAGTACCAACCCCGAAATAACTCACGCTCAGTTCTCAAACCCGAAACGCCAGTATGCTTAGCTGCCTTTAGCAAGTAGGACCAATCACCAGCCAGCGGTTCTCGCTGGGCTCACGGTGACCACACATGACGGCTCTGAACATACAATGGTGGTGCACCCGAGATGAACTGTGGTGTTGATAACACAGGTGAAGACCGCATGCAATAGAGATTTGAGGATCGTAAGCAAAAAAACCGTGACTAACGATGCGGATCAATGCGGATGAAGCGACTGAACACAGAACGAATGTCGCGGATACCCGGGTGTGGTTGACGTGATATATGTCAACTGATACGTGATGTTGCGTGGAACACAGTTGTTCAAGGGAGAAATGAATGAACCAAATTCACGATGAGTGCCCGACAGGATCGAACCGGACGTGTGGATGTACAGAAGCGAGAAATGGAGGTTGATGCCTACAGGAATTCGAGAAAATCCCAAATTGTTTTGCTTTGTTTTGGTGTCTCAGATGGGAGATCATTCTCAAACGCTGATTTATTGATCCGGAATTCGCAGTCACAAAATTTTATGGACTCATTCTGGCATGATGAGTCAGCTGCAACTAGGTGGGGCTGTTTCCATGCGACTATAAAAGGACAATGAGAAATACCAGTCACTAAATTAAACAAGATAAAGATGAGTGAAGCTTAAAACAGTGAGCAACTTACGGGTTATCTTTTTTGTATGGCACGGCCGCATTGAGCTTGAGAACGGGTTGTTCCGTCTTGATATGAGATTCATCCATCGGAGAACGTTCGCCCGCCTGGCTTATTCGATCCTCAGTCTCAGCGGGCTTCTCGATTAAATCTGGCTGACCAGTTTTCGAGGTCAGATGGCTAGCGAACACGAGGAAAGAGAGGGGAGAAAATGTGATGAGCGAGGAAGAAACTGACGGGCAAACAGACGGGTGCACTTTACCTGAAGAATGATTTCCTTACACGAAACAATGCAAGGTTCGGCAGCCAAATACTCTCTCATTTGCACACCAATTTGGGAAGAAGTGTTCTCAGCAACCTCGTGAATAGTTTCCCTCAGGAAGGCTAGGATTGCGTTTGGAAACCTCATCCACGGGGAAATCATTCTTCCCGAAAAAAAACATCATTTGGAAGAATTGAATGGGGAAAAGAACGTCTAAACTACCATAAAATCGAAATAATCGTTCAGCTGTAGCACCCTTTCGGTACCTAGCTGCCACGCCACCCGAAGGAAGCACGAGGGCTGAGATACTGTCAGGCTGCCCAAGCCTGAGAGGCGGAGGTCGGATTCGAACCACGGACCTTCCGGTCAGTGAATTCGCGCTCTAACCACTTGGGCCATCTCGCCATTTGATGAAAAATAACGTCATCAGATTCGCATTATAAGTAGGAACAAGTCACTACTACCTAAGACAGAGCAATGGATGGACTCGGGATGGCTCTGCGGTTAAGGTCGGTGGTTCGAACCCAACCCCGGGGATCTGGACTACTCTTGTCTGGGCTTGGGTAACCTGTCCCAGACCATGTGCATCCTTCAGGTGGGATGAAAAACAGGCACCAAAATGGTGTCACAAGCTGAATGATTTAAGATCTTGAGAATCAGAACTACTGATCGGAAGGCCCGTGGTTCGAGCCCAACCCGGGCATCTGGACTGCTCCTGTCTAGGTTTTGATGACTTGATAGAACAGATAGATAGATAGCCCTCATTCTTTCTTCGGTGGCATGGAAACAGGGCACCAAAAGTGTTACAGCCGATTGATTATTATTTCATAATTGTTATGGCAACGGATGGCTACAAAAGTACCCAAAATTTCACCGTATGAGTTGTTGTTGTCATATTTCCTAGCTTCTCAGGGGTTTTTCAACTCCAAACTATTGGGTGTCTATAGCTTATGCAGTCACGAAGTTTGTATGCTGAAACCCCATTCCAGGGAGTGCACGGAGCACTTCTGATTTGACTCCAAGCGGAACGTCATCAAAACATTTCCGAAAAGTGTCGGCACAATGTTCACCTTTAACTGCCTGGTTGGACTGTTGCATCCACAGAACGTGATTGAGTAGGGAAACAAAACAAGTGTGCACACGATCAGCAATGATTTGAGAGCAGAGGGCATGGGTAACTCACGTGGGAATATCGAAGAACTGAGGTGCCCGGGATAGAGGACAAGTTTCATCCGGTGCGGTCGAATCGGAGCCGGACGGGCGAACCTTCTTCCCGGTGAACGTGTTATTCCGCCGTATCCACGCAGCGTCAGGATTGAGGTCCTCCACACCTTCATCAACAGCACGATTGGCCACCGTTTCGGTAGCCACGGGTTTCAAAGTAGCCGTCAAGTTAAGTCGGGGTAGAACGCCAGATGAGCTATGAAGATAATTGCAAAAAAATACACAGTGTTGCGACAATGAGAAGCGCAAGCGTGAAAACGGACACGTTAGGCAAATAAGTGCGTGTATGACCAGAGGTATCGTATGGTGTTTGATGAAGTTTGTCGGAATTCCTGTGCTCGATCAGTAAATGACTTGACTCCGGAATCGAACGGAATGAAAAAAAGAGCATTCGGTCAAAATGGCTTAGTGATTAGATCGCGAAATTTACTAACCGGACGATTCATGGTTCGAATCCGGCCTCCACATTTCGACTTCTGTCTGAACACGGGCAATCTGGGAGTATCCCAGACCTCGTATTCCTTCGAATGGCACAGCAACTAGGCACCGAAAGGGTGTTACAGCTAAACAGATTTCGATTTACGACGGTCACGGTTAGCCGTTGGGCAACCGGGATGTGCACTTTTTACGGCCGACCTTGTGTGAAGTCAGCATCTCTGCTTTCATGAATATGGAGATGCTGGTCGCGTGGACGAAACACCTTACTGCGGCCTTACACTCCTATCACAGAGACTTTGCATCCGGCAGGTCAGCAGCCTAAGATCTGACAGCGAAGTATGAAAACACTGAACAGCAAAAACTCAGCCGGGCGAACAACTGCCGCATCTGTGGATGAGGACCCCGGGACTAAACATACAAATAGTTAGTGACACTAGCACCTATGGTTCAAACACGTCGACAGAGGTCAACGTTGTCAATAAAATTTACCAAGCTATGCTAGCTATTGTATCAATGTTGTCAATAAAATTTACCAAGCTATGCTATCAGCCATTGATCACCAGCAGCGATTTGCCAGAAACAACAGAGCACACCGACAAGAGAGGAATCCACAGCGTTCAAGAAAGATTTAATGGGAACCCATCCGAGATAGGTTAAAAATGCTACATTCAAGGCAAGGAGGGGAGTACTACTCCAGTACCACAATTATTCATTGTTTCCAGTCTATATGTAAAGCCAACTGAGATCATTTTCCGCCACTTGAGGAAAGGGGGAGTAACGCTGATGAAACTCTCCCGGAAGGGAGATCAGTTCGGTCGTTTCTCATGAGTATCCTTCCTCGATATAGGATCACGAAGTATCGTGAATTTAAAAGAAACTGCAGGGACAGATACTCCCTCCAATCAAGCAGAATAAAAAAAACAATAAACCCATCCTCTGGGACAAAGAAAAACAGTTTCACCGGGCTGCAACCCAAAGGATCAAGAAACGGATGCAAGTAACTAACCTTTCATCCACTGAGGGTCGTTCAACAGCGGTTGTCGTGGTGGTGGGACCGGCACTGACACTAGAGAAAAACATGGATCATTAAAAAGGAAGATTCGACTAACTGGCAGTTGAGTTAGAAAAGATGGAGTTATTACTAGGGGAACAAACACATGATATTAGTTGATAGTAGTGTGAGAGTGGGGAAGTTGCTGAAAATCCGAGGAGCACTGTACCACAGTTTCATCCATATTGGAAATCATCAAATCATTGCGCTTTCTCTGAGTTCAGAGGAGGAATGACTGGAACCCAGTCGGAAGGTGATCACGTGATGTGGTTCCTGTGATTAAAAGATGAATGGCGCTATATCCTGTCTAAATGAGAGTCAGCCAAGTCCACTGTGGCCGAAAGGTTAAGCGTTCAAGCTACTAGCCAGAAGGTCACGCTGATGAAACGGCATAAAGTGATTTCAGTCCGAGGACAGAATCTCAGTTGACAGGATATCAAACCTACTGAACCGATATTGTTACGTAAAGGCCATCGGGGTTTCACTGCAGAGATGAGGTACTCTGTTCATGGGGTAGATTAGGACAAGACAAATGGATCGGAATAGCCATGTAAATTCACCTTAGCCTACCTGACATTGGTCAAGGGGGTTGTGCAAAGCTACATTAAGCTATGCACAGGAAGCGATACCCATCAGGTTGCTGAAAACTCTCCGACGGGGAGTTTTCTGCAACCTCGTGAGTAGTGCGTTGCGTCTGGACAATGTATTACGATATCTTGAATATCGTACCGGCTGAAACATGAGGCGGCCTGGAGCAGCGCACTCAGCTGAAGCGGAACATTATAAACGAGGGATTTCGCTCTATCCCATGCAAACGAGACTGGTTGGCGAACATACATACAAGGTCAACCTCAGTCACGCAAACGAGTACAGATTTGCGAACAAAGAGGCCGAATCATCAGTAGCGGATAAAGAGGAACTGTGGTTAGACCAGTCCACTGAAGTAAACAATTGCAAGTTTATGATGTTCGAAGGTAAACACAAAAGATAACGACGTTTGTAACAAGCTCATAGTCCACTGATCAATGCTACGGATTCGACTCAGCCAGACAATTTGTGAAGTAGCGAGATACACTCAATTGCAAAGGAATTTTCGGGAGACTGAACTGGAACCCAGCTGAATCTCTCGTTGGGGATGTTTCCAGGCAACGGAATGTGCTGTACCAGGCCACCTACGATATTCGAGAAACCGCGATGCATGTATGTTCGTATTGCGCTACTTATAAGGTTGCTGAAAACTCTTCGACAGCCCACGACCGGTTTCGCCTTTCTTGGGGCTCATCAGATAGGCGCAGCCCCCGAGTTTCTGTCAACCTTATGTTCTACTCGAAACCAAATTGCACGAAATTAGCGAATATACACTCACTTGCAAACAAATTCGGTTTTGCGAGAGACCTACCTGGAACCCAGCTGAATTTCTCGTTTGTGATGTTTCGAAAACAGTTCAATTTGAGTTCAAGTAGAACATAAGTTTGAAGGAAACTCGGGGACTGTGCCTACCTGATAAGCCCCAAGCGGGGCGAAACCGGTCGTGGGCTGTCGAAGTTTTCAGAAACCTTGCGAGTAGTTTCCTCTATGAAAATATTCTGCGATGTATCGAATATCGTGGCAACTGAAACAAGAGGCGGCCTGTGTGCAGCATATTCAGTTGTAGAACATCATAAACGAGAGATTCTGTTGAGTATCCCGTGAAAACTAAATTGATTTGCAAATCGCTCCTGGACATATTTAATCATTTCCACCAAGGCTACTGGAAGTTAATTAGTTCCAACAGTTTAGTCACTGCTGGAGCCATTTAAAGATCTCATTTTTATGCACGGTGGCACCAACATGACCAGACAACCACAGTTAGATCAAAAACTACTGAAAAGCAAACAAAAAGGCTAATACCTGGTTAATTTGTATAACTCTACTCGGCGATGAGTCTATTGGCTGCTGATCAGGTGACGGTTAGGCGGTTCACCGAGGTTGACAATTGGCTTACAAACGTTTTGTCACCGTGCGAAGAGACATCATCGGTGCGTGGTCGGGTGGAGGCTACTCGGTGAACCAACCGAAAGCAAGGAAGGAAACGGGATTCCGAGGAAGCTGTGTCTCAGCTGGCCAGTCACAGCAGTAGTTTTTGAAAACTACATACACCCAGGTAGGCAAACAAACGGGAAGCATCGATTACCGCGCGGTGACGACAGGTTTGCAAGCCAATCGGCAAGCTCGGCAAACAGACCAACTGATCAACAGCAAGCAAGTCAACTCAGGATTTACGCGGTGTTCCCCAAGTGTAACATGAGGTTGATGAGCTCCAAACCGGGCGAAACTGGGCTGATGAAAGATTTTCAGACGCCTCATAAGCACTATTGTGCCAATAAAATTCCCCCCAAGTGTTTTGTTCTCAAAAGTGCCCCAGACAAGCTACTCATCTAGCTATATTGGAAACCGACCCCGACGACCAAACAAAGGCATTGACACCTACTGGGGTATAAGCACGGAGGACCGATTCCCCCGCGTCATCAACATCGACAGCATAACATCAGTACTCAACAGGGATGCTCCACTAATTCACGGTTGTGTGTGAGCTGGGATACTGCCAGGGCGCCCACCTATAAGCAGAAGGCCGATTAGCGGCCTTTGACTCAAAAGCAAGGCAGCGGTGTTACGAGAAAAATGAAGGCGCAATACCATCTTTATGGCAAAAGTCGCCACATATGTTTCGACCCGAAACATCGGGGGCCAGGAGATTATGATGGTCAGATCACTAACCAGTGACCAACCTAGATCGACGGCACTCACCAATCCCGTAACCAAGCCTTATCTAATAAGTTCGGATCTGATTATCATTCTGCGTGTAAAACACAACCCATAGCTTAATTCCCATTCTAGACAAGAAATGTTTATCCCAGTAGATAAAGTGAAACGGCTCAGTGGTTAGGTCGAGAATTCACAGATCGGAAGGCCTGTAGTTCGAACCCAACCGTTGCCTTTAGACTTCTCCTGCCTAGACTTGGGCAATATCCCAGCCTTCGTACTTCCTTCTGTGGTAAGCCCCCACAAAAAAAATCAACTGTCCCACCTATGACGTCAGTCTTCTCCAAATCAAGATAAAGTTGTTTTCGGTGGTTTGTCCGCAAAGCAGTCGACAGCGTGGCAACGGAGGACAAAAATAGACCCACACACACACACACACCAGCGACAGATCACAAATGGGTTTAACGGTCTCAAATTGATATGCCCCAGTTTGGACAAAGAGGACGATTCAGATATTAAGATGACTGGTCGGAATAAGTATCCAGGATATTTGTCATAAAACGTGTCCTTCCCAAACTGCAGTCGAGTGGCAACAGGGCTGTCGGCGTTTCTTCTCAAGGGAAGGGATAAATCGTCTAAAAAGAGAACCGTGTCAGGATTCTTTTATCTCATAAAGTTTAACCAATTCAAAGGAGTCAGTCAACCAGGAAAATCGATCGGTGAGCGAATGGAAAAAACCTGGAAACTGACCTCTGTTTCATCCAAGAAACTCCAGCAACCGTTTTGCGGTCCGAGGGTGACGAGGATTCGACTGGAGAACGGGCGTTGCCTTCGGCGATGGAAACTTTAGGTGATTGGGCTAGAAGGAAGGTGATGATATAAGTACCGTGTTTATGAACAAAACCCCAATTGAATCAATGATGTGTAAATAAGCCAATAAACAAAACAACACGTGTATCAACTCTGGTATCGTACACCACTTCTCATCCTGATATATTGGAAACTACATGAGCGTGCTTCATCATACCATCAGAGATAGCAACATCAGTGTTGACACTGATAATGACGGAGTGCCGTACAACCACAAAGTTGGTCTAATTGTATAAAACGCCTTGGAGTGAAAAGAAGAGAAAACAGTGGGTGCGATTCTATCGCAAGCGTACTGGGGTGCCTACACCTTCAATCACTCAATCCCGCAATCTCGGAAGAAACTAACACAACTGACACCCATGGTTCACACTGTCCCCGTTTCGGCACAGGAGGGGTCACGGGGACCCCATTCTACAGGGCGGACACCACACCAACAACACCCAAACAATTCGTGATTTCTCTGACACCTTCCTACCAAGTCGTACGTTATTCATTTCGATGATCAGGCATGAGAATATGGCTGGTGTAAACCAACAGAGATGCACATGGGCTGAGATGCTGCCAGGGAACCTAGACAGAAGACTGATTAGGCTTCTCATACGAAGCCTTTGACTCAAAAACCTGAGCACAAGGCAGCATCTTCAACCCAAAAGAACAAGTCGCCAAGCATGTTCCGAACCCCAAGCCTGGAGGACCAGGAGACTGTGTCAGATCGCTAATCATTGGCCAATCTGGAATGAGAGACTACGTGGGTGTCGGACGGACACCATCCAGTATGGCTCAGTGGATCAAGGAGGAAAACAAACCGTCACAACACACCAGTTTGTTCTTGACGACTTTATACGCAAACGAGTTTTAGTATTCCAAACAAAGTCGCTACGAAACCAGGGAACCTAAGGCCAACGGAGGCTCGAAACAAAAGGAACCAAAGGACCAGTTGGAAGGTATCAGACACACACACACACAGGATTA